AAGTAGGAAATAAGATCCTCTGGAAAAGGGCGCTTTTTCCGGAGGATCGGGGCCAGTGTAGACGCTCTTTTCCGGCTTTTCTAAAAGCCGGAAAAAAGCTGCGGACATTTTTATTTAAATGCCGCGGGGGATATTTAAATCCCCCGCGGATTTCCCTATTACGGCTTCTGAAATTAACATGCCCCTTCCGGAAAAGGGGCCAGTGTAGACGTAGCCCATAGGAGAAGAGGCAATGGGCTTAAATTGCAGCAGGAGTGGGCTACATTGTGCATTAGGAAAAATTAGCAAATTGTCAGGATAGTTAAGCACTGGAATAAATTTCCAAGGGAGGCTGTGGAATCTCTCATGATTGGAGATTTTAAAGAGTAGGTTAGACAAACACCTGTGAGGGATGGTCTAGATACAGTAAAACTCCAATTGTCCGGCATCCAGTGGTCCAGCACTCCTGACAGTCCAGCACCAACTGGACCCCGGAAGTGCTCCGGCCAGCTGGACAATTGGAGCTGCTCCGTGCCGCTTCCCCAAGTCCGCTGCTGCCGTTGCTGAAACTGACCAGCGGCGGAATTGGGGAAGCAGCGCAGAGCAGCAGGGGTGCTTCCTGGTTGGCCCCGCAGTGCCGCCCCTCACCCCTCTGCTCGGCGCCCGGCAGCATCCCAGCTGCTCTGCTCCTCACAGCTTTCCCAAATCCGCCGCTGCCGCTGCTGAAACTGACGAGCAGTGGACTTGGGGAAGCCGTGGGGCAGAGCAGCTGGGATACTGCCGGGTTGGTCCCGCAGGGCTGCCCCTCACCTGAGCAGCGCAGCGGGACCAATCCAACAGCACCCCAGCTGCTCTGCCCCATGGCTTCCCCAAGTCCACTGCTCGTCAGTTTCAGCAGCGGCAGCGGCGGATTTGGGAAAGCTGTGAGGAGCAGAGCAGCTGGGATGCTGCCGGGCGCCGAGCAGAGGGGTGAGGGGCGGCACTGCGGGACCAACCCGGCAGCACCCCAGCTGCTCTGCCCCGCCACTTCCCCAAGTTGCCGCTGCCGCTTGCTGTCACCGGCGGCTGCACGGGGCTTCCCCCGCCTCCCTGCAAAACGGTGGAGGGTTTGCCCCATACCGCGCCGTTCCCTGCCGACCCCCCCATACCCGTCACAGCTCCCCTTCTGGAGTACCTCCTGATACTCCGGCATATCCGATAATCCAGCACCCCCTGGGTTCCAAAAGTGCCAGATTATTGGAAGTCTACTGTAATACTTAGTCTAGCCATGAGTGCAGGGGACTAGACTAGAAAATCTCTCAAAGTTCCATCCAGTGCTATGATTCTATCATCTCCACTCAACAGCAGACCTGTGGCTCCCTGGAGGACAAAGCAAAGAACAATGAGTTGAACTACTTCATACCTAAATTCTCCTGAGCCTGGGATTGTCCTGCTTCCTCCCTGAATTCTCCTCAAGCTTCAGAGGAGGAAGTTGGTCCACTCAACCTTCTGAGGAGGAGGACTCATAATATTTTAACTGACAAGTTGACAAATTGTGACTTAGAGTGATGATATACTAGGCCTGTACTGGCAAACATGACATTACAACAGATTCTTGAACAGATACTTATATGGCCCATATGCTTTAATGTGGCCTTGCTGCTGCTCTGAAATGATGAGTAGGTAAAAAACGAATCCTCCATTGGAACCATCTATTTCTAAACAGCACCACTGGTTCTCTTTCTGGCAATTACAAAGATCTGCTAATGTTATTTGGAGCAGATGGCACCAAATGGCATGACATTTTAAAGCACTTTTGCAGGGGAAGACAAACCCTTCATTCTTCAAAATTCAAAAAATGAAAGGAAGGGAAGTATGTTGGCAGGGAAATGAGGGAGATTGGAAGCATGTATATGTGTATAACATCACTTGTGTATTTTGAAGCAATGTGCAAAGATCCATGGGCCCTTCGAAATAATCAAAAGTTGCAGTCTTTTCTACGCTTTTATGGATCATCACTGGAAGGCAACATTTCAAAAACAATTGTAACCCAATTGGATACTCCAAAGAAGGCTTATTCTGGCACGAAGAACCACAAAAAAAATCATGTAAGACCTGTACAGTATGTCCATATGATAGATCAGTATGATATTAACTGTTTTATGCATGTACTGCACAGTAGTGATTTTTAAAAATTTGCTTTAAACTATCTAGTAGAGGAATTCCTACTATTCTTTTTCTGCCATTGTAAAGGTTCTGTATTTTTTCCAATAATTAGAATATCTGGATTTTCTCTCATTTCTTACTGAAAGAGTTCCCTCCTGCTACATTTCATTGTCCATCTTTCCATTTTATGAATGGCACAATCTTGGTGCCACTGCAGTAAGTGTGAGTTTTGAAGTTGAGTGACGTCCAAATCCTGCATTGAACTCTGTCTGAGTAGATCCTTACTGCAGGATAAATGACTAAGCTCATAATTGGTAAGGGAAGACCATTTTTGTCTTATTAAAAAGAGACTTACACTATTATATTGCTGCTCTCTGCAAGTACTGTAACTGGTAGGTTTATAACTTTTAGGGGACAGATGCACTGGCCACCTCAGAATCAAATAAAATTAACATTTATCACACAGGAAGTGTTGGCAGTAGGAAACATTAATATTTTTGAATAAGAAATCACACAACAAGAAGTGAGGGTGATATTGAAATAGAAAAAGTTAATGTAATAGATACCAAATGCTTTGGGAGGAGATGGGTTGAATGACTGGGGAATATGGGTGGATTAGTAGGATTTGTATTACTAGTATGTTGAAGATATTATTCTGTTACAGTATTGTTTACTCTAAACATTATAAAGCTCCTATAACTCCGGATAAATGCTGGCAAATATGTCAATGAACAAAAAAGTGAATAAGATAAGATACTCTTTTTAAAAAAAAAAAAACTAGCACAGAATAGGAAAGAGTAGCAGACACAAAGTGGTGGGGAGGATATGATAGGGTGAGGCTATAACAGCTGTTCTGTACAAATTTATGTAGTGGTCAGTGGGTAAGTGGGGCTTACCTGTTTGGAATACCTGCCTACAATGATGAATTTGTGCAGCCTGCAGATAGAACAGAAACAAGAATTTTACAACACTGAAAACATTTTTAGCATTGAAGCAAGATTGGTCTTTTCTTTCTAGAACATTACACACTTTCTGAGGTATAGCTGCACTGACGTCAATGGATCTAGGCCCATTTATACCAACTGAACATTTGTCCCTAATTGTTAAATAATTATGTCATGTGAAATCCCGACCTCACAAAGCCAATAGAGAAACTCTCATTACTTCACTGGGGCCAGGATTACTTATAGAACCTAGGCTATGTCTAGACTGCAAGCCTCTTTCGAAAAAGAGCATCTAGACTACAACCAGTACTTTCGAAAAAGCAAGCCGCTTTTTTGAAAGAGAGCACCCAGGCAGTCTCGATGCTTTCTTTCAAAAAAATACAGTTTGCATTACATAGTGCCTTTTTTCGAAATAGCACTTTCAAAAAAAAGTGTTCTTCCTCGTAAAACGAGGTTTTCTGTGGTTGAAAAAACTGCCACATTCTTTCGATTAACTTTTGAAAGAACATGGCAGCAGTCTAGACTTGGGAAGTTTTTTCGAAAAAAGGCCACTTTTTCGAAAAAAAACCCCTGTAGTCTAGACACACTCCTAATGTTGCAACCTCTACAGTAACAAAAAAGTGCACTAAGGCCCATACTGTGATGAGTACAGGTAAATGTATATCTAGAAATGTATGATATAGTTTGTAATCAAATACAGTTTAGAGATAGCAAAGTAAAAATGGTTGTTGCCTTATCTTGATACTTTAGTGCCTGAATCTCCAATTTCTGCATTGAGTAATACTTTATATAGGCCTAATCCTGTGTTCTTCAGCTAAAATACGGCAATCGTGGTCTGATTTTTATTGGTCTTTGCACCTTGTGTAATTATCCACACCTGTGCAAAATACGTGTAATATACTACTTTTCTGATCTGTTAGTATTGCATTCACTTTCCTTCAATGGAAACACTCTTAAATTGCAATTTTTCCAGGCAGGGGCCATCCGTTATTGTAATATACTAGCAGATTTACCCAGCATTGTTTGGGTCCTTAACTCAAGGGGAGGGGAGAGAGATTTTGAATAATAAAAGGGAAATGCACACACTTTATTTAAATTATTGTATTTTTCAAAAATACAGTGTTATTTTTATAAAGTTAATTTTTATTTTGGATTTCTTTAAAAAAGGAATGGTTACAATTTTTCTGTTCTTCAATCAAGTGTATTTTTCTTCATCCCTATACACTCTTATCACTCGTTATATTTTAACAAAAAAGGGCTATAATCAATTTTGTTTCCAATAAGATTTTCTGCTAGTTTTCAAACCTTTTAAGCATTAATTTAGCTGTGCCAAAGCATACAACTCCAATTTTTCTGTTTTATCTGTTTTTTGTAAGGTTTATTGAAAAGCAATCATATTCCAGGTTCATCCTATTTTTCTGGCTCATCGTGGTTCAGTTTCTTTGAACATTCACTCAGTTACGTCTATTTTGAGGACTGTACTTGATTTGGTGATTCTGTTTCTTTTCTGTTTGGTTTTATGAGAAGCAATCCCCCTTCCAGGCATGTCCAATTTTCCTGGAACAACCAAACTCTTACATTGCTTTAAGATATGATAAGAGGAAGCTATATACCGAATTTGGTTGTCCTACCTCTTACTGTTTAGGAGGCATTCTTGATCAAAGAGACAGAAAGATAAATAGACAAACTCTCTAAAATATATAGTAAATCTATGTACACTACCTAGAACAATATGGTTCTAATCCCAGGATTAGGACCTCTGGGTGCTTGCAATACAAATAAATGACTACATAAATTACAAAAAAGCTTAGAATCAAGCACTGTATTTAGTGTTCATGGAAATTGAAATACTAGTGTTTTCCCATGTATAATTGTTAAAATAACTTTAAAAATCAGGGTTGTGCCATAATGTGAAGAAAATGTCCATCAGATAAAACTACTGAGTAACCCCCCCCCCCAAAAAAAGTATTGGAATTTCTATTAATCCACTGAGTACTGATTTATTTTGAAGATGTTTTATATAAAAGCCAATTTACAGATGAACAGTGAGTAATAAATAGTTTTAAGCAGTGAGTTACTTAAAGGTAGTCACACATCAACCTTTGTTGCATTAGATTACTTGTAATACATTAGCATTTGTTCTTTAAAATTTCATAAAAGTGTAAAGTTTTATGTATGTATTATATTTATTTTATTGGCAGAAGACTAAAGCAGAAATAATTATTGAGGAAAACCAAAAAAGAATGAAAGCTGAAGAAGAAAGAAAAGAACAGAAACAATGGGATGCTCTTGCCATTGAAAAGCTAATACAAGAGAATTTTAACTCTGGAATAAGTAAACTAGAGGATTTTCTGAAGAAGTGTCAAAGCACTTCTGTGAAATGTACTGCAGAAATGACAGTACTTAATACTTGCTTTGAACTGTGGCTAGAACAATGCAAAGACCAAGGTATGTGAAAGCATATTTGAGTCTTTTTGGAGGGGTTAGCAGCCATCTTTTCATACTTCAGAAGAAAATTCTAATAAACTTGCCGATCTTAAGTTATTGGGCTTTAGTTTTAAGAGTACATGGCTAGCTGATGTGAGTATTCAGGGGACGAGAGTGCAAGAAGCCTGCCTGTAACCCTCTAGCACAGGAAATGTGTACATCTGGACTATCTTTCAGGGGATTTGTGTGGCTATGGAGAAGGGAATATGTATCTGCCATGTGGTATTTTAGCTCATCATTTTGGTGTCTTATGTGTACTGTAATGGGGTATGTCTACACCTGCACCCTATTTCAAAATAGGGATGCAAATGAAGACATTCGAAATTGCAAATGAAGCCGGGATTTAAATATCTCACGTTTCATTTGCATATTTGCATTATAGTGCTATTTTGAAATAGTGTTTTTTTCTAAATAAAATGCGCTGTGTAGACGTGTTATTTCGAGAGAAAACCCTTCTCTCAGAATAACCCTTATTCCTCATAAAATGAGGTTTAACAATTATTCCGAGAGAAGGGTTTTCTCTCGAAATAACGCATCTACACAGAGCATTTTATTTCAAAATAGTGCTATTTTGAAATAGTGCCATAATGCGAATATGCAAATGAAGCATGGGATATTTAAATCCCGGCTTCATTTGCAATTTCGAATGTCTTCATTTGCATCCCTATTTTGAAATAGGGTCTTCCATAATCAGGGCATTCCAGATTTTGTTAAATTGGTTTTGTATCAGAGGGCACAGGATCACCAATTGGCTGCTGCTTCCAGTCATATAATGACAAAAATTGCATCCATTTTGAGGTTCTGTGTACCATATCAGGTCTGTGGAATTCTACGCAAAGTAGAGCAAGACTGAATTTCACAGTTATATATATATATCCAAAATCTGTGTTAGAAGGTAGAGTATTTCATGGCATATGAATTGGAATATCGTATGCCATTGCCTGAGAATCAAAGGGAAAATCAGCTGCAAAGAAGAGCTTTGGCCCCGTTATAGTAGTGAATTGGATTCAGGTCTTTCTGAAAAGCCCTTGTGCAATCTTTGTTACTTTTGCCTGTGAAATGCATAAATGATAATCACCAACCATGGATCATAGTATGGATTGTGAAGGTACAAAACAATTTTCAGTGGAAAAAGCTGGGTCTAGAACTCATTGTTTATGGGTTTGTAGTTTAGCTTATCATTCATTAGACTAATCAAAGTCTTGCTCAGCTTGCTTTTTCAGGGCGTGTCCACACTGCAGGGCAAAAATAGAATTAAGATATGCAACTTTAGCTACTTCAATTCCGTAGCTGAAGTTGAAATAGCTTACTCTGGCTTTTGGCACTGTCTACACAGAAGGAAGTCAAAGGAAGAACACTCTTCCTTCCGCTTCCCTTACTCCTTTTGAAATGAGGGTTACATTAGGGCTACGTCTACACTGGCCCCTTTTCCGGAAGGGGCATGTAAATTTCACTAGTCGTCGTAGGGAAATCCGCGGGGGATTTAAATATCCCCCGCGGCATTTAAATAAAAATGTCCGCCGCCTACTTTGAAGTAGGAATAAGAGCCTCCGGAAAAGGGCGCTTTTTCCTTAAATAAAAATGTCCGCCGCTTTTTTCCGGCTTTTAAAAAAGCCGGAAAAGAGCGTCTAGACTGGCCCCGATCCTCCGGAAAAGGGCACTTTTTCCGGAGGATCGGGGCCAGTCTAGACGCTCTTTTCCGGCTTTTTTAAAAGCCGGAAAAAAGCGGCGGACATTTTTATTTAAATGCCGCGGGGGATATTTAAATCCCCCGCGGATTTCCCTACGACGACTAGTGAAATTTACATGCCCCTTCCGGAAAAGGGGCCAGTGTAGACGTAGCCTAGTAGAAGTAAGAAGTCCTCCATCTCAACATAATTTCAGAATAACAGCTTGCTGTGTAACTATGTTATTTCAAAGTAATGTCAGTTATTCCGAAATAATGCTGCTTTGTAGATATACACTAAAAGCTGTGTGATGGCTAGAACTTTTCATGTCATTATGAAACTACATATAGCTAGGGCCCAAACATGGATTTTCATGACCAGTTTGTGAGAGCTGGCAACAATGGTTTAGTAAGTGACAGGAGCAAAAGAAGAATACCAAAATTCTGAGAGGATCATCATGGAAAACATATATTTATGGTAACATCAAACCCTGTTCCCACTTTCCATCTTCTATTCTCCCATATCATGGTGTAGAGGATAAACTCCAAACACACTGTAGCATTATATTCCCCTATGATTAAATACAAGATCTGGACACCTGATAAATATATTTTTAGAGCAGTACACATGTTCTAACATGGTAATGAGGTGTAAACAAAAAAGGATTTTTTAAAAAAATTCCAAACTCCCACCTACAAGCACTGTCCATGAAAGGAGGCAAATGTGTAATGCTTCAGAGTATATTTTTTATTTTGTGCATTTTGATGTATACATAAAATTTAAAAGCTCCTATCCAGAGCTCTAGACAACTTTGCCTTAAATTCAAAATACAAGCCAAGTAATGCAAACAAAAATATGTAGTTTCTGTCCCTCTTTCATCCTCCAGAAAAGAAAACATTCTAGCTATAGATCCCAATTCTCAATGCCCAGACTTCAGCCATCAGTACATATATATGTGTAGAAAAATGTGGAAAGAAGTGGGCTTTGTAGCTTGTCCTGAAGCTCCATAGAGTTGAACTATTTTGAATGTGTCTCTCACCACACAGCCTGGGATTAAAATAAATCATAAATTGTCTGCAAAGGTATCCCTTACCAGGACTGCTTCTTAGTCATTTTCATTCTTTTGCCTCCAAGAAAATCTTGAGAACTTGTCTATGACATCAAATTATGATCATATAGGGTACAACTGTACTGTAATAAAAAAGCTGTAGCACACCCGTGGCTGGCCTTGGTCAGCTGACTCAGGTTGAAGGGCTTAGGCTGAAGGCCTAAAAATTGCACCATTGATGTTTGAGTTTGAGCTAGAACCTGAGATCTGAGACCATCCTCCTGACCCGCATTTGCACAGAGCCCATGCAGCTGTGATGCTTATTTGGCTCTTGTATGGAGGGTTCTGTCACTTCTCAAATGAACAAAAATATTTTTGAATTTATTGAGATTATCAATATTTTGTTTTTTAAGGAAAGAGAGTAAAAGATATAAATATAGCTGTTGAAGTAATGAAAAGAACACATTCCTTGCTGGAAAAATGTAAAAATGTATTGGAGAAGACAGATTATCAAAAGATTGTAAGATGCCTTAGATACTTTGGATTTGACAATTTAGCATCTACTTTGGATTCTTCCCAGGTAATGTCTGTATAACAATTTTACTATTCTACATGCATGTAAGTTAATCTCTGCAGTAGTTTTGGTCATATAATTTTTTCAGAATATTTACAGTAGCATAGAAAATTGTATTAAAAATACTATTTAGATTGCAAAGTCAAGTACTTGAAATGTAGGAGATACCAGATTTATGACTGCCCCTATTTCTGCACCCTTGCACACTTTGTGCAACTGAGTAAGGCAGAGGCCCATGGTAAAACATGTGATAATGTAAAAGCTGCATTGTGATATATATGCACAGTAGGGCCAAATAATGATTGCACAGGCAACTGTAAATCTGTCATTTCCTAACTTTCAAGCGTTTGATTTTTGCCACCTACATAACATTGTTTTAACAGTTTGATTATTTAAAACATTTCTTAAGTGTGTTTTTAAAGAAAATAGCAGTTGTTGACTCGAGTCCCACGACTTGAACTCGAGTCTAATTTAAGTCGCCTAGGTGACTCAACTTGAGACTTGACTTGGGTTCATTGTTTGTGACTTGAGACTCGCTAATTTTGTTAAATCGACTCGGTGAAAAAATTGTCCAAAAATGCCAATATTGATGGCATGTACAAAAGTGACTTGACATCTTTTAAAATTAAGGCTTGAGTCTCCACTTGGGACTTGACTCGAAAGTGACTTTAGGGACTCGAGACTCGACTTGAGACTTGAACTGTAGTGACTTTAGACTTGACTTAGACTTGACCATGACGACTTGAAGACAACACTGGAAAATGGTAAGGACAAATTCTATTATGTGCAAGTGGAAGAAGCATATCATTGTGCAGCATTAATTCACACCTGAACTTTCATCATTACACAATATTTCTACCACTTAACCTACAGGTAGAGCCCTGCAAATCCACAGATATCTGCTTTATATCCTCAGGTATCCACATCTGTGGCTGTGGATGCATAAACCCATGGTTCATTTTTGTGGAAGTGAATGTAGATACAAACGTTGCATCTAGAACTCTGCAAATAGCACATATCTGCTTTATATCCATAGGTATCCACATCTGTGGATCATTTCTGAAAATGTGGCAGTATATACCAATGTATCCCTTCAGGGCTCTACCAACAGGCATCACAACATTAGTTGGCAGTTGGAGAAGGCAGTTATCTCAGGCTACATCTATACTGCAGCTTTTTGTCAGCAGATACAATACAAATGAAGCACTCATTAGCATTTTCACACTGTCATTTGCATATTCTCTGCCAATGCTTTTTGCAGAAGAGATTTTTGCACAAAACCAAGCAGTGTAGACGAGGCCATTTTGTGCAACCCCCCCTTTTTTGCGTAACTCCCCCCTACACCTGACTCCGAGATTGAGAGTTTGTAGACTCAGCCACCACACCAGCTTGAGAGGGATAGAGCTGGCAACACTGGAAGGTAGGAAGGATAAGGGGACCCCTGAAAGTGGTGGAGGTGGGGTGGGTCCTTCAGTGGCACAATGGATAAGGCATCTGCCTTGGCAGCTTGGGGTATAGGGCTTGGATTGGATCTTGCTCAAAAGGTTTTTTTTGCTCAAAACGGCCCCATCTACATTGCTTGTTTTTGCGTAAAAACCTCTTCCGCAAAAAGCATCGGCAGAGATTATGCAAATGACAGCATGACAAATGCTAATGAGCACTTCATTTGCATTGTCTCTGCCAACAAAAGGCTGCAGTGAGACATAGCCTCAGAGGGAAGTTGGTTTGCTAGGTCCAAGAGTGATCATGGATGGACGTTGGTTTGATAACTCTCTCTTTCCCATTTCCTTCTCTATCCAGGAGTAGGGGAAGCTCTTGATGTACTTCTTGCCTTCAAAAAGGATGGACTACAAGGGTCAAGGGCTAGAACTAAGGGGCTTGTTTGTTTTGTCCTCTGCCCCTACATCCTCTACCAAATAGCATATAGGAGGGTTACATGCTAGACCTGAAAGGAGGAGTGAAGCCTGGCTCTATTCGTCTCCTACAACAGCTCCAACAGCACTTCAACCATGCTTTAGTGGCTGCCTCATCCTAGAATGTTCATCTTTAATTATTATAATTATTATGAGCTACACAATTTTCCTGAGGAACAAAAATGAGAAAAGGGAAATGGAGATGTTAAAAATCTGTCAGCAAAATTTGTCAAACTTAAAGGGCAGAAAAAGAAACTTCTGCTTGATAGATAAGCCACTGTATAATAATATGAAAGCCTACTGCAAACAATGGAGGTGTTAGAAAGTCTCAAAGAAATGATCTCAAGAACTTTTATAAAACAAAATTGTAGACCACTTAAATATAGGACTTGCTACTGACTCCCTATGGGTACGTCTAGACTACCGCGTTTTGTCGACGGAAGTTTTGTCGACAGATACTGTCGACAAAACTTCCGTCGACAAAGAGTGTCCAGACACATTGAGTTCTGGCGACAAAGCAAGCTGCTTTATCGACAGAACTCCATAGTCTGGACGCAATGTTACAGGCAATAACACCTTCTGTCGACAGAGTTCTGTTGACAGAAGGTGTTATGCCTCGTAAAATGAGGTATACCAGCGTCGACAAAACTGCTGAGTTCTGTCGACATTATGTCGACAGAACTCAGCGGTACTGTCGACGCTGGTATAGTTTTGTCGACAAAAGTCCACTTTTGTCGACAAAACTAGGTAGTCTAGACACACCCTATGTAATAACACTAAAGACTAGGAAAGGAGAAGAAAGAAGGGGGAGGAGGGCATTTTATAACAAACAAGTTAAACCTTTCAAACAAAATTTAGAATCTTTGGTTCCATGTTATAATAGCTATAACATCACTCCTGCATGTAGGCTATTGTCCCATTCATTGCCTTTGTCTGAATAATGGCTTGATCCTGTATGATACTGGGTGCCTCTTGCATTCAGCACTACTTTTATCACCTCCTTAACTCTTCATTACCATCAACATCAAACAGTGTCCAAGAGTTTCTAGGCTTCTTAATGCAACTGTGTAAGGTCCTGATCCTGCCATCAACTTCAGAGTTCTTAATTTCTTGGTACTGTGAGACCATAATAATTTGATGCTTAACTAGAACAAGAAAATCTAACGTATTTTATATACATCCTTTTCTTTATTGTAGGCAATGACCTAGATAGATTATTGCGTCTTTAAGGAGTGAAAGATTAATTAATCATTAATAGAAACAAACAAGCTGTGTTAAAATTTTGAATATTTACAGATTTCAGAGGATGACAGAAAAGAGAAGGCAAAGATTTCTAAGTATGCTGTTGGCATGGGAGCAGCTCGGTTTCAGCTACAGTACATGGGTCATTGCCTATTACGAGACGAGAGAACAGATCGAGATCCCAGGGTCCAGCATTTTATTCCAGATACATGGCAGGTAATACTATGAAATCTGACTTACTGTTTTTATGGGTAATCCTTGTCAGAAAAGCAAACATTGAACTATAACAGAAAATTGTACAGCACCACATCAAAAAAATGTTCACAGCCTCTTTGAAAAGCAGATTTGTGAACTTAATTTTTAGGGACCTCCAGTTTCACCTACACTGTGTGTGAAGGTTGTGTGAAGAGAATATATATATATATAGTCAGACCTTCTATAAAGTATAGATTTTCACATTTTAAATGATTTTCTACTTGATTAGCTCTGGATTTTTTAAAAATCCAGATTTAGATTTCAGAATAAACTGTCTAATCTCTTGTCCAATTCTAGAAAAGCAAGGTTTATTGTAATTGCCTTGTCTGCAAGGAAAATAAAAGTACACTTGTCTGTTTGTAGGTAAGTCGACGAGAAGGTAGAAATGATTAAATTTATCATAAGTCTGAATTTATTTTTGATTTGCTGATGAATGAATGTTGCCATTGTTTGCCTCCTTTTTTTGTGACTGCATTTTATTATATGAGAATTTTACACTGAATTTTCCATAAACTGGTGACAGAGTCTTAAAAATTTTGACCCAGATAAGAACACATCAGCTTCCATTCAAGTGGTTTTATATGGCAGGATGTTTAATGTTAATATTATTTTTATTATTATATTATACCATACATTATATTAGTTTTTGTCTAGATGTTTAATGTTAATATTATTTATTTTCCATAGCATAAAAATTGTTAGTCATAACAGTTTCTATGCTATGGAAAATAAATAATATTTTTTAAACTGCTGACTTTTGTGGGATTTTTTTCCAAGTTGATGCTCAGTAATGATGACGAGTATCAGAGAGGTAGCCGTGTTAGTCTGAATCTGCAAATGCGGTGAGGAGTCCTGTGGCACCTTATAGACTAACTGAAGTGTTAGAGCATAAGCTTTCGTGGGCAAAGACTCACTTCGTCATGCATCTGACGAAGTGGGTCTTTGCCCACAAAAGCTTATGCTCCAACACTTTGGTTAGTCTGTAAGGTGCCACAGGACTCCTCGCAAGTAATGATGACCTAATTCAAACTTGACTGGACTGAGCTGGATGGCTCCAAAGTCAGCTTTGCATCTGATTTTTCAAAGGCTTTTGAGGAAGGTGGCACAAGGCAGAGCAAGTAAACTTCATACCCTATAACAATCAATAATAAGGCCAAGAAGCCTCACCTTTTGGAACCACAGGCCATCTGAGACTGACATTCCAGAATCTCATTTTCTGAAGGTGTCAAGTATCAGAGGGGTAGCCGTGTTAGTCTGAATCTGCAAAAGCGGCGAGGAGTCCTGTGGCACCTTATAGACTAACTGAAGTGTTGGAGCATAAGCTTTCATGGGCAAAGACCCACTTCGTCAGATGCATGACACAGTGAGTCTTTGCCCACAAAAGTTTATGTTCCAACACTTCAGTTAGTCTATAAGGTGCCACAGGACTCCTCGCCACCTTCTGAAGGGGAAGTCACAAGTATGCTACTTCAACTTTTCACCAGTCTCTCTATGCACCCAAAGAAGGTCCACTACTAAGAAGTACTGAGCTAGCAGAACATGACGACATGCTCCTTGCTCTAATTCTAGCTCTTACTCTATTATTTCTCCACAAGTCTCTTTGGGTATGGAGAACATGGAGTTTTCTCAGGAGAAAGGGGATGAGATGAGAAAGGGGTCTGTGTGAAAGCGTGGCTGTAGGGGAAAAGGCACTGGAGTTAAACATGTTTTTTCAATAGCAGGGCTACATAGAATAATGCAGTTGTAAAAAGAAAAGCTGACTGTGTGCTGGTGAACCAAAATGGGTTTAATTGAATCATAATGTCTTGAATTGTGTAAAAAAAGATATCGTCTTGACATACAATTCATGTCACTCTCTATCTGCAGCGAGACCTTCTTGACATTGTAGATAACAATGAATCTGCAGTGATTGTAGCCCCTACCTCATCAGGGAAGACATATGCCTCTTACTACTGTATGGAGAAAATCTTGAAAGAAAGTAATGAAGGGGTGGTTGTGTATGTTGCTCCAACAAAGGTATGGCTTGAGTAGATAGCATAGTTTAATGAAAAGTATTTACCATATTTCAATAAAAAAAAAACATATTTCTACCAAATCCTCAAAACCCCAGTTAGGGCACATCTACACAGCAGTGTTATTTTGGAATAATTGACGTTATTCCGAAATAACATAGGGTATGTCTACACTACAGAGTTAGTTCGAACTAATGGATGTTAGTTCGAACTAACTTTGATAGGCGCTACACTAGCGCTCTGCTAGTTCGAACTTAATTCAAACTAGCAGAGCGCTTAGTTCGAACTAGGTAAACCTCATTTTACGAGGATTAAGCCTAGTTCGAACTAGCTAGTTCGAATTAAGGGGTGTGTAGCCCCTTAATTCGAACTAGTGGGAGGCTAGCCCTCCCCAGGTTTCCCTGGTGGCCACTCTGGCCAACACCAGGGAAACTCTTCTGCCCCACTCCTGGCTCCGGACCCCTTAAAGGGGCACGGGCTGGCTACGGTGCCCGTGCCAGGTGCAAGCCTGCCAGCACCCAGCCAGCAGAC